CTGGGACAGACAGAGGAGGACAGCACATGTCCATTTCAAGAAACTCTGCTGAAAGCAGGGAAGGAAGGTGAGGCCGCAAGTGGACTCATGGGCGTTTGCCCCCATGATCTCAGGTGGAGGACACAGGACCTGTTTGCATTGTGGTAGGAATGGTCCAGTGGAAAGGCAAGATCAATGCATCCGAAAGAAAGAAGACAGAGGATAACAAGCAAAGGGTGAGGCAATGTGGCTCACTGGGTAAAGGAGCTTGCTGCCAAACCTGATGACCTGAGTTCAAGCTCTAGGACCCCATGGTACAGTAGAGAATCAAATCCTGCAAGTTGTCCTCTGACCTCCACATGTGTACCATGGCACGTATGTGCATGGGCATACACTAAGTAAGTTAATACAAATAAGTAATAAAACAAGAGCATCACCACAAGACAGGCCAGGAGTAGAGGCGGAAGGACTGGCCTCACACAGGCAGCCCCCAGACACCTGTCAGTTCATTGACATCTGTGTTTATGAAGCTTCTACATTCCGAGCATCTCGCTTTTGTCCTCAGCATGTTATCTGCACGGACTGCTGTTGACCCTCAAAGCCGTAGCCTGGAGGACTGCATGGGCTAGCAGAGTAGATGGACAGTAACACCTGCTCCAAGTGAGCCTGACCTGGTTTGAACTCGGATTCAGGTGCTGAGCAGGTCTGGTACCTTGGGTACACCATTAAATCTCTCCAAACTTGGCGCTCCCATCTAGCCGCAGGAAGCCAGTACTGACTTCTACTTCCAAAGGGTTGTTGGAGGTTGTATGTGAGGTGGCATGTAAGCCACAGTGCCGAGAACAAATGGCAACCACAGCGGTGACTGTTCAGCTCTCCCATGTCAATGGAGCGTTGTTTTCTTTAACAGAAATTACATTTCAGGCGAATGACTGCAATGGTCACTTTGTGTGTGTGTGTGTGGGGTGTGTGTGTGGGGGGTGTGTGTGTGCTTTTTTACATCATTGGAGGGAAGAACTTGTGTCAGCTGTTAGAGATGCCATTTATACCTGAGGGTCAGGGATGTAGTTCCAGGGTAGAACACTTACTTGCACAGTATAGAGGAGATCCTGGGTTCTGTCCCAGCACTGCAAAAAAGGAGGGAGGGAGGGGAGGAGGGAGAGGAGGAGGGGGGGAGGAAGGAAACCAGACATGAGGTACTGAAAGGAGAAATGAGAGTCTCACACGCAAACTCAAGATGTCATAATTTGTTCACCAGAAACGTCTGTGTTAAAACGAGACTTACGTTATTTCTGCCCGGGTGCTTCTCTTGCTCTGGTAGAGGGAGGAACCCGGCGAAGGATGGATGGGGCTTCAGCCAGGGTTGCAGGCCGCTCTTTTCCAAGTGGACAGAACGAATGAGCCACATTGCTGGCGGAGCCCAGACGCGTGCTCCAAGAGAAGGCTGCTCCCTCGGCTGCTTCAGACACCCGGCGAGGGGAGCCTGCAGGCCAGGCCGGCCGCTGACTGCCTTCTGGTATTCCAAACCTCAGCCCGTTTGACCTGACCCCATCAAGCATTCTCCGAGGCCCGGGGATGTAGCTCAGTTATGGGGTGCTTGTCCAGCTCACACAAAGCCCTGGCTTTGACCCCTGGCACTGTATAACCAAGTGTGGTGATACACACCTGTAATCCTAGCAGTCAGGGAGTGGAGACAGGAGGATGAGAAGTGTTAAGTTTTCCTCAGCTACATAACACACACATCTGAGGCTAGCCTGGGCTATATGAGATCTTGTCTCAGACAACAACAACTCCCCCCCCCCCCCCGCGCGCCCCAGTTTACCTCAAGTGGTTTCTTTGCCTAAACAATGGGCCATAATCCTGTGTAAAACCCATCAAGAGAGTGTCTTGGTTTTGAGGAAAATGAAAGACTGGGCACCTTGTAAGCTTTACAGTTCAGCCTTATTGTGAAAACTCTGCCTATGGTCCAGTTTATTCCGAGAGGGACACCCGAAGCTTCACCAGCGGTCCTGCAAGATCTGTATCCTGTAGCATATAATGATGCCTTAGATGTGAGAATAAAACCAGAAAATTTTATGTGGGGCGATATGTATGTCTGCTGTCATTTTCTGACTGAAGTATCCTTACTATAAACAACGACAGATGTCCAGAATGGTAGTGGTGGGCATATTTGCATTAATTCCTGTCATAGGAAAGCTGTTCCGAATATCACAACACAGCGGTCACAGAACGGCTGCACAGTACCCGCGTTTCGCAGCACCATCCCAGGCCACCTGTACTTCTGCTGGATGGTACAGAATTCAGTGACACGGTCTGACACAAAAGACAGATGATGACGACAGTGTTGAAAGTGACAGGGAGAAAGAGAAATTTAAAATATTCCCACTGACTGCCTGGAATGTTTGGGGAGCATCCTTAATTCTCGGCTCCCCACGACTGCTCTGTTGGAGGAGGACTGATGGTTTCCCGGGTCCAGAAGCTGGAAGTCTGAAATGAAGGTGTTGGTAGGGCCAGGCTCCCTCGGAACCCTGAGGGATGAACCCTTCCTTGCCCTTCCTCCCGTTAGAAGTTTGTTGAAGACCTTTGCGCTCCCTTGACTGGCTGCAGTATCACTCTGCCCTTGCGTGTCTGCCTTCACACGGCCATGTTATTATTTGAAGGTGGAGTCTCTCACAAGCTCAGGCACTCGACCATTCATTGCCCATTGGAGCTGCTGTTGGAGGTGGAGCCTTGCTGGAGGGAGTGGGTCAATGGGGCGGGCCTTGAGATTTGGGGGGGGGGGGCAACGACGGGACGACATGCCCACGTTCATTTCAAACCGGTGAGGCCAGGAAAGCCTTGCCTTTGAGTTGCCTCTTGTCAAATATTTTGCCACAGCAGTGAGGGAAGAAAACAATTTGGCCGTCTTCTGACAAGGACCCCAGTTCTTTTGGATGAGAGGCCCCATTGACTTCAGTATGACTTCATCTGAATGAAAGACATTAAACTAGCCCTATCTCCAAATAGAGTCGTGTTCCGAGGTCCTGGAGGTTAGGACTTCATCTTGGAACTTATCACCCCATGGTTGAAGGAGTCCACGGACTTGGGCGTCTGGTGAGACATTTGGAGGTCGGCCTGAGGCCCCAGAGACCAGAGCACAAGACGACAACAGGTTATGGAGAAGGAAACAGGACGAACACAAATCTGGCCTGCATTGCAACTTCGCCCCTTGTGTTGGTCGGGGTAATCTCTCTCTCTCGATCTGTGCTCAGGGCCTCTGACTGATGACTGACAGACAGCCTTACCTGGTCACTTCCCGCTGAAGACTCCCACGTTCTGCACCCGAGTCCAGGCTGTGAGTGAGATTTGTGACTGTGCATAGGACACTCTCTGCTGGTGCCATATGCTCGAAAATGTCTGAATTTTGTGCAGAGACACAGCCAGTGTTCTAAGTGCCGTTACATAATGAGGACGTGGCCTTGCATAATAATTAGCATGTGTAATTAGGCACAGACTTCTTGTCCTTTAATTAGACAATCAAGGCATCTAATTACTAAATTAAGATGTAATTACGTGGCCCAAGATCTTCATATTTCTTTTTATCCATCAGAGATTATATTTAGAAAATAATTTGCAAAAACTGATGGAAAAAATCTCCGATTTGAGAGTGTTACAGGAAGTGTTCAATAGCTGTGAGTTTCCTTTCATCTCCATTTGGGGACAAGGGGAGTCATTTCAAATACCATCACTTGCCTGAAAAACTACCGTTTCCAAACGGTGCTGTTGACCTTTGGCACACACGTTAATGAACGGGAATGTGGGCGTGGCTAATCCATTTAATTCACACCTGCTCTAGCATGTGCTTCACGATTCCTCAAATGTGGACCTACTGGTGATGTTCTGGGAGGTCATTCAAGCCAACAGTACTTTCGGATGCTGGGAGAACCCACTGCTTCCCACTGTGCCCTACCTGGTCCTCTCCCATGGCTATTTTAGCTATAAGCACAAGGCTGTGATGTAGAAACCATACTTAAGAGGCGTCTCCCTTTCCCTGGATATCGGAGGGTTTGCTGAACTGTTCTCCGGTTGGAGGATAAGGCAAATACCCCATGCTTCTCACTGTAGAGGGTTTTGAGCTCCAATATTTATCAGAAGCCAGACTGGAGTGCTATTCTGTTCTTTTTCCTTGTTCCTAAATTGGGATTTGGCTGATCTCTGCATGATGCTAAACACCCAGCTTGACTCATTAATTTTTCTGAACCAACTGAACTTTTGACCTAATTGTCTGGCTGGGTGGGGATCGGGGCCATATGGCAGGTTCGCCCAAGCCAGCTCCGACTCTAACCATGTCACCTCTCTGTTCCCATAAACAGAAACATCCCCGTGACCCCAGTGTTTGCACAGTCGTACTGAAAAGTTGTGGACTCTGCTGGGCCGCTTTTCCTGGTTTGGGGTGGAGAGAATCTGCCTCCCTTCTGTGTTAGGCGGAAGACAGAGTCTTACAAAGGCTGTGAGTGGGGAGTAAGGCCGTCTCCTTGCCATGAGGTGCCTCCACCTCTATTTTTGTTGTCCGTGAGGCCATGGCCATGGAATGTGATGAGCAACGAGTTGTGTGTGAATAGGGGGGTTGGCCTGGACCCAGAAAATGATACCAGGGAGCTTATTCTCCGCCACTGTAAGTTTTCGCTTTATCTTCTGAGTTACGGTTCATGATAGATTTAGAAGCTGAGGAACTGAGGTGCATGTGTGGAGACGATTGATGGAGTTCCAGCGGAGGAGGGTGTTAGACTGCCTTCCTCTGAGGTACCTCAGGCGGTGAAGGCCTCGGGATCCCACCCCTGCATCTGGAGGCACTCCGGAGTTCCTATGCTTCTCTTTTCCTTGCTAGTTCCCTGCCCCAGGGTCCTCAGATGCGTTCATTGGAAACATCTCTCAGTCTCGCTAAGAGAACTCAACAGTTTTGCTTCATAACAGGGTCAATGACATGAATATAATAAACACCAGTTTCTTGGATTTAAAAATTGGCTTCTCTGTCCACCTAGGTATTCCACATCGGCATTCTCAAGACTGGAGAAGTTGGGCATCAGACACCCCAAGCCCGCTCCTTTTATTGGAAACTTGATGTTTTTCCGCCAGGTGAGACTCTGGATCTTGCACAAGATTTAGCATGGGGCACTGCTCCTGTTTCCATGTCAGCAGTCAGGGTGGTCTCCACGTGAAGAGTGCATGTGACATGTTAAAGAGTAATTTATCAAGATCAGACGGGGCTTATTCAAGGAGTGTAGGCCTTGAAAAGCAATCAATTATAACTTGTTACATTAACTCAGTAAAGGAAAATATATATACAATCTTAACAGATGCCAAGAAATAATGAATTGCAATAGCCATTCGCTATACCAAGTCTTAGTGGACTATGAATAAAATGACATGAAATATGCTGGGCGGTGATGGCCACACCTTTAATCCCAGCACTTGGGAGGCAGAGGTAGTCGGATCTCTGTGAGTTCGAGACCAGCCTTATCTACAATGTGAGATCCAAGACAGCCAAGGATAAATAAAGAGACCCTGTCTCAAAAAACCATTAAAAAAATTACATGTGATGGGAAGAACCCTTCTCCACTGGAATGGGTTTCCTTCCTTCCTTCCTTCCTTCCTTCCTTCCTTCCTTCCTTCCTTCCTTCCTTCCTT